CTCAGTCCGGTGATTGAAACATCCACTCCAAAGATTACCATCTCAGTGCAAGGTTCACAGTGGATTGGAGACGTGGTAAGAATGCCCCTCTAGTGGTTGCCAATGCGCGCTGGGCACGGGGTTGGAAGAAAGTTCGTCAGCACCAGACCGTAAAATAATGAAAAATGCAGAAGTTGACAGAACCGCTCTTACGCGTGGGCTCCTCTCAACTTCCAGGTTGGAAAGCAAATTGTGAAAAATTCCTCGGATCAGAGAGCCGGAAAGACACTCTGTGTGTGTGAATGATACGTTACTGTTTTTTTCATACCCTACGAAAAACCCTGATTGAACTGAAATGTGCATGCGTAAAATCCACACAAAAACAAACTTTGAGTCTGTTAATTGCATAGCTCTTCTGTGGTTCCGGTAGACCGTTATAATTTGTGTTTTCCCTGGTTCGTTCAACACTCTAGTACCATGATTTATTTGGTACACGGTTTACACCAGGGTGATGTATATCCCCGCGACCCCTAAGGACGAAGTTAAAATCTCAGTGTAACAACCGTTGGTTCCAAGCTTCTCAACACTCTACAGAGATGATCTGGAATCATTGATTACTCTGCAGCATTACAACTCGAATTTTCTCTCGGGCCTTTCAGAATATGACCATTTTCGCGTCTCGGAGATGCTGATTATATATATATATATATATATATATATATACCTTACAATTAGTATATGGATGACTGGAAAAAATTTCCCCGGTTCCGAAAGAGCTGCCCAAACAAATTGCCCCGCTATTGCCAATGAGGTTATCGTTACGCAAATACACTTGTTGGGTACAAGTAAATGAATGAGCTGACAAAATACTACCGGATACGCGTGCCGACGAGCAGCAAGAACCGCAGAACCAGTTGTATGCTTCCAGGTAAATTTTGTCGGTTCATTCATGCAAGACTTACTATGAAACATGTATATACGTAAAAGCAAGTGATAAGAGCTTTCTCGTACTTTCTAACCCGATATTAATTAGTGGCATCCAGTTGGAAAACTCTGGCTTTCCGTTTCATGGCCACCTGATATGCCAGAATGACACGGTGTCCGGAACAAACCATTGACTGATACACATACCTGTGGACGATAACAAAACATCCCTAAAGATTGAACAGCTACAAGACGAATAAAACGAGATGGCCGGGTACTGAAAAATGCGGGGGCGGGGGGTTGAAATACACATGTAGCAACGGAGTCCCACACAGTGAGTACGGTTGACTGTACTGTGGAAATCGCAGTGCACACATGAACTGAGCGGTGTTTGGTGGAAGTTGGGTGGAAAACAGGTGCATGTACAGTTCGGGGATGATGAGTGATGAACAAGTAAGTGACTAAGGTGGCGGGGGGAGGGCTAGGCGGCAAGTACACCTTGATAAAACCTCAGCAACAATCCCCACCACCACCATCACCCTCACCACTACTATAAACGTGAACACGATTAAAATTGGCTTCGGCCAACACCACCACTCTATTCGCAGGAGTTCTACCTCTGAGTAATGGACTGGACATTGTGCGGAACAGGAACACCGTTTGGAAGATCGAGTAAACCAGCGGCCTTCTGACGATTTGTTCCCTAAGACAGGTGAATCTGTGGTAGGATAGTTGAGATTCATCGGGGCAAAATAGCCCATATAAATGGACACTACACGATAGAGGGCGAGTCCTATTCGCATACGATAGTTTAAGCTCAAGTCATGCGGATAACAAATGTTGGATGCGATAAAATCGGAAAAAATGGCACAGATAGTTTGTCATCACAGTATTTACAGTTTGAATGGATAAGGCTCATTTTCAAGAGAATCTTCTGTTGAACAACTATGGGAAAACAGCAATCTAAGATTTTTGGTCTGGAGTGACAAGCGTAACCGGAACGGAGGAGTAACAAGGCAAGATAGCGCTAGTAGAACACAAATCGACATCAGATTCACAAAGGATGAACAAGCAATGGAACGGACTCGGTCAGTCAAAATGGCCTGAAAGACTTCAGGCGACCGAATACAAAACGGATATCTTCTACTCGCAAATTCAAGGTCTCACAACCACAAAACAGCACTGAACAAAAGCCAGCATAATATACACGACCTTTCAACTTCAGTGAAACGTCGCGTCTACGCCAAAGGTGTTTCAGTCCTGCGTATGCTGCTCCAGCCTTGGAAATGCGGGCGGTTATCTCCTTTGCTACACTACCGTCATTGGTCACGCAACTACCTAAGTATGAAAAGTAATCCACCATAATTAATTCCTGACCGTTAAGTTTCAGAGCGGCAGCATCACTTTGCATTTGAAGGTGCAAAGCACATACCGAATGTGGCAACAGCACTTGTAAGTCTATCAAGTGCGCTTTGCGCGTCCTCCATGCATTCGAACAGGCAGACGATGTCATCGGCTTCCTCCAAATCGCACAGTTTTCTCCAGTTGCCCATTCAATACCTACGTTTTGGAGACGACTAAGTGCGTTCTCCAATATTTCGTCTACGACGAAATTGAACAGGAACGGCGAGAGAGGGCACTCTTGACAAGCGCCGCTGCTGGTGATGAATGGTCTACTTAGTTCATCATAGGCCCTTCACGATAAGAGGTCTGTGAGTATAGTGACCGCAGTACGTTAACGTACTTCTGGGGCATTCCTTTTCGAAGAAGGGAGCCCATCAGAGCTTCGCGATCAACTGAGTCAAAGGCTCCTTTCGGGTCAAGGAATACTGTGATCGTTGGTTGGAGGGAACAGTGACGAAACATACACACACAGCAGACAAATTGTGTGACAGTAATCTTTTTGTGAACCGCCCAAACTTCTAGGTTGACCAAGTAGCAACGGTAGAACTAGACATAAATTGGGATAAAACTTGCGAACTTCTAATGTGTGATGATTTAACGGCTTGTGCACATATGTGAAAAATTTGGAATACACGGGAAAAAACGGAATGTGGAGTCAAGCTGTTCTTGTTGTCTTGTTATCATGACAAATCACGAATGTCGTTATCTAGCTTACTGAGACCTGATGAGGGACAAAACTGCTAGCATATTGAATGCAAATTAGTAGACTTCGCTGGCTAGGGCACGTATTGTGTATGCCCAGCTGTCGTCTACCGCACCGCGCTTTATTCACTGTAGCTAATCCGGGCTGGAGGAAACCGCGTGGAGGTCAACAGATGACGTGGAGCCTTTAGGTAGAGTAGATGTCTCGCACCTCCCAGGTTGGGACTGAAAGACTCCACGACCGGTTGGTTGGAGACATTGAAGGATATGGCATCGAACCAGCAGCAGTGGCGTTCTTGTTGTCGTTTCTTATCAGGTCAGGATGCTTGAAACGGTATGTATGCAGAGTTCGATTGCGTACTCCGTGCGTTGACCATAGAGGTTCACCTTTTCCCTTTCCCTCAAAGTAGTTCCACTCCGTCCACCTTGAATTTTACCACTAATCTTGTATGCATTGCGAGTTTGGCAGCGATCAGTGAAGTTCGCCCCATTGTATTTAGCTGTACGATGAGGAGGAGGAGGTCCAACAATTATAAATAAGTGTATTTTTACTTCCTTTTTTATTTATTGAATATATATAATATATATAAATGTGCAGTCAACATTCAGGAACGGGGAACGTGGCCACACAAAGGCGATCTGGGAAGATCTGATGTAGTGATCTATCTATCTTTACAGCACAACAGGTCTTCATAACAATCACCGTTCCCACCGCGCACACCACGTAGCGTTTGATGATTTGAACCAACAATGACAGCGAAAGAAAATACGAATAGGGGAATGCGTTTACTCACCATGCAGAAAATCAATGAAACGCTCCAGATCCACTACTTGAGTTTTCAATTGTTCCACTAGCTTTTCATTAATTTTCACCGGATTCAGGAACTGTGAAGGGAATGCGACAAAAATTATTTATTATTATTATTATTATTGGTGGAATAATAACAACTGAGAATGATGAAACATTCAACTGAACTCAAAGTTTAATTGGTCGTATTAACTGAAATACTCTCCTGAAACGCTTCTACTAATAAACCTATTAGTTTTACCGGACGGGAAGTTTTTCAACAGGCGTTTAATATAGCCCACCGTGAGCATTCAGATTGCATGTGAATAGACACCGAGATGGCATAAAAAGGTCAATAATTGGCTAAGGAAAATAATCAGAGATTTTCGAACGCGTTAACTACCTTAGTTAGAATACAAAAATGCAACTAGCAGACCGTATTTTCAAGTTTCTGTGGAATGAACTGGATGCTGTGATATGCTAATACTAACACTGCGGAGTTCAGTTAACTGAAACCTTGGAATGATATAATATTAAATGTGTTTACTAAGACTGGGGTTCTAGAACTGATCGATCTACTGAGAAAACTCTACGACTACGGAGCAAGAGATTTGGTAATCGATTGGATCGAGGAATTTCTCCACGTTAGTTCATGTTGGTGATTTATAATCTGAACCTATCACCACTGCCCCAGGGGCTCCTCAAGAATCCTTACTGGGGCTTCGTCTTTTTCTCGCATTTATAAACGACCTGCCACATGTCCTTGGGCCGAACACACTACTATATGCGGACGACGATAAGATCTGGAGAACTGAACAAATCCAGAAGATTTTACAGCACTCCAACAAACGATCGATACAGCTCACCGATGGTCAAACACCAATGACATCGAGTTCAACGTTATTTCTGTGCGACACAAGACTCGTTTCTCCTATGTTCTGGGGAACCAAATACTACCGCCATTGACGAAAGGGATCTGGGAGTTATGGTACAGGAGGATGTAGGATGTTCCACGCACTGTGCCAGGGCAACATCCATGACTCTAAAGTAAGTTGGACTACTAAGACGTGCTTTCAGGCAGTTCGAAAAGGCACTATTCTCACGCTTGCTATCAGCGTTCGTTCGACCACACAGAGTACGCCGTTCAAGTATGGAATCCATGGTTGAACCACGACAAGAATACTCTAGAACATCCGCAAAGACTGGCAACAAAATTGGTAAAAGATCTGTATAACAAGACATACTCCGAAAGACTGTAAATATTTTGACTCTACTCATCCAAACCGCCGACTTCGAGGGGACCTAATATTAGCATACCATATACTGCATCAATTTAACCACCCTTGCTGTTCTCTGCTGATCACCTCAGGGGCCATCCACTAAAGTTGAAGACCCAGAACAGCCATCTGGATTGCCGATATTACCCGTTTGCATTCAGAGTGTGCAGTGTATAGAATTCTCTTCCATCCTATGTAGTATGTGCTCCTCCAGTTGAACAATTTAAATCGAAACTTGATAAAGCATTGGAACACTTGAAATGTCAACATCCGTGAGTGATCATGCCTATTATTTTCATTTTCTCTTTGTAAAGTTATCCAAAAGATTCTAGAAAATCCTATGGCACATGATAAGCTTTAGCTTTGTTAAATCGCTCATAATAAAACTTTGACTTTGATCTATCAGGAAGCAGAGACGATCGCATAGGACTCACACACAGTTGATGTCAAATCGATTCGGTGGCCATTACGACAAGACTGTGTCGAAGCAAGTTCGTAAAGAAACTCGGTTACGGCGGAAATGATGGTATTCCAAATTTTCTAACGAAATAAGTTGTTTGGTTAGTAGGTAGTTTCAAGCCGAATGTGGAATTTGTTCTCCCCTACTTCTGCGAGAATATCGCAAGTGGAGAGTCACAAAACCGATGCTTATAAACTGCAATCGACGAAGTAATAACACGGTTTTTTCTCGCCTTAAGAGTCCTCAATTTAGAACTCGCGTGACTGTGCACAAGGGTTTCAATGGTGACCACTGACTAAGCAGTAAGAATGAGTGGAAGCCAAATTATCATGCCCACTTATCGCTCAAGCGGAAACAGTTAGTTGCGCGTTCTCACATAGGCCAAAGGAGCCGAAACAAACAAGGATAAGAGGGGGGAATCTCATGTCGAATCACGGTTCCCTCGTTCAGTGGTTTGCCCCAAAAATAATTCATTAAGTGTTCTATACTTGCACTTATGAGTCAAATAATAGATAAGAACAAACAGGAATTGTGTTTTGATTGGGGGCAAGCATAAATGGACCAACCGGTTGAGTATACGCACATGCCACGAAATTGCCTGAGATTAAACAAACTGAGCCGAGGCACGGATATCTCTTGTTGATGAACCGCCATTATTCACTCCAGTTAAGCGGAGATTTAAAGCCCCAAGATTTGATGTGGCAAAGCACTTAACAATCCGGTAGGACGGGTACGATGAGCAGCGAGAAAGCGAGACTGACTATCATCAATCGTGGTGATGGAAGCGTTCAAACATCGGAGCACGCCAGCGACAGCGACTTAAACCGTGGGAACACCACAATCGGCTTATGGGAAACAGGTCCAGTCAAGTCAAAATAGGCTTTATGCATCGGAAGGGTGATTTTTCACAATAATACAGTGGAATTGGGGAATCGCATCAAAGTGTGAATAAATTAAACAAAAACCACAGAAAACTGCAAGCAGGAAGACGATAGTGATAGGTCAAAATGAATAAGTAAACTAATTCATGAGATGTCCAACCGGACCTGTAATAATTGATGCCCGATTTACTAAAAAGTGAGCAAGAAAAAGGAGGATGCTGTTTCTGTATGCCACGGTGCGTGCGGGAAGGAGCCTATAATGCGAGCGGGTACGGGAGTNTGTACAAGCATTGATTTTCGTTGTTCAATATTCTGTCGGCTATTCTTTCACATGCGTCGATATGTTTGTACACAATAAAATTAACCAGAACATTTCTGGATATGCCACTACATCGGGATAGGAGTGTAATAGACCTGGAAATTAAAACGAAATCTTTTCTCTTAGGCCGGAAAAATCAGGGGAACAGTAGAGCCAATGAGGGAAGATGCATGCTACCACGAATTTGAAAATTACGTTTTGGGGAACAGCAAGCTTCCTAAGTCTGAAAGCATAAAAAGAAATTTTACGAACCGTATTGTAAACGTTCTCTGCATGTAAAATGCAAGAAAGATTGTGGGATAGAACGACTCCGAGGTATTTATCAATCAGCTTTGGGAATGCTGTGGCTGTTAACGACGAGGTCCGGGTAAATCATCAAAGGTAGTTTGGTAGAGGGAGCCAGATTCAAGGCTGAAGGGAACGTCGACGCATTTGGAAACATTAAGCATGAGTGATCGGGATAGAGACGAACTAAAAACGTGGTTCAGACTGCTTTGCGGTTGATGGAAAGATGCATCAGTATTGGAGGGGTACCCAATCACCACATCGTCCGCATAATAAGAGGCAATAAAGTTGGTAGGGACAGACAGGTTGTTTATGTACAGGGGGAAAAAGAACGGAGACAAAATGGTGCCCTGGAAGACGCCAGAGTTAACAAAAGACGACGACGTTTTACCATTGCATGAGGGATTCGGAAAGCAGTGATAGACTGGGACAGGGATAGTGTGCTTCCTCAATCGTTTTTTGTTTTGTTTTTGATTCACTCTAACCATAACTATCCGAAATTATTCAACAAAAAAAAACGACCAATTAATCACCGAAGAAGATGTGCGTGCGGATGCGCGACCCATAGGAAGCCGAATAACAAGCAAAATAAATGAGCTGCAAGAATTCGTTCACGCTAACAACCTGTTTTGATAGAGTATGCATTCAAGACCCGTGCCGCTCTGATTGCACACAACTCCGTCGAGGGCAGAACAGTTCAGGGGCCGATATAATCGTGCATAGAGACCATGAGAATGACAAGGATAATGCTCATGCTGTTGAACGGCGTTCATCGGTGTTACGGATTTTTGTGAAAAATAAAGTAGCTGAAACGTAGTTAGTTCTCAGGCTCTGAGGTACTACTCACACTTGTTGGTAGCATGTTTGTATTGCACAAAAGAATGTGATTGACGGTTTCTCATAATGATCAAAAATGAACAAGACCTCCCAGAGCGAATTAGTGTTCGAAATCGTAACTAAAGAAAACTCACACATACACACTCGGATTGTTCCAGCAATTAACCCGCGTGGTTGTCGGAATTATGATTGACCTGTTCAAGATGAGACGTTTCGTTCCGTGTAACCTTATTTACCACTTAAACAACACTGTTCTCTGAGTAAATAACTCTCCCCAACCTGACGCTGGCCTTGAGGGATTATGACACTAAAGGACAAGTTTTTTCTGTTTTTGTTTCTTCGCATGACCGGTCCCTAAACAAACTGATATTTGGATGTCGATATTTCACACACAACACAGGCAAAATGATGGGACAAAAGGTGACCAGTAAAATAAGAGAGCATTGTTCCGAATCCAATCGTGCAAACGCGTTTCGAACTGGAAAATTAAACGAAAATTTTATCCCTCAAAACGGATAGAATGAGGAAAAAGAAGGGCACAGCGCACCTGATGCACGGCCGATTCGACCACCTGTCTCAATTCCTCATCCGACAAGCGTTCCAAATTACTGATATCTAGCTCCAGTCGTGCGGTAAGCTCCTCCAGTACGAGGCGTTGCTTCTCCAATACGGCTTGAGTGGGCGGCTCCTTTTGTTCACCGGTCTGAATACAAATATGCGAAACGAGGAGATGGGGAATTTGAATAAGAATCAGTCGACAAAATCAACAATAACTACCCTCTCGCATTAACATTTATAAAAATTCCCATGTACCCTACTTGGCCCGACTACTCACCAAAAAGGAACAGGTCTCAAATGAACTACGTCAAATGCTTTGTACATGATACGTATATCACCGACCTTGTTTACCTTACCTGCGCGACGAACAATGTACATTTTTAACTGAAATGTAAGCATATATGCTTACAAAAGTTACAAATACAATACAATACAACACGAGGCGCGAAAAATTAGGCAGAATTGTGACTTGCAACTTGCTCGCGACTTATTTGTTTTTGGAATCACATGGAGCTGTTGTTCAAAGATGCACTCGGGGGAGGACGGACATTATTGTGATGTGTGCATTTAGTTTGACCTCGACTTGTCATCAAAAAGCTTCACATTTGGCTAACACAAAAAGATCTTTGCAAGATTACTGTCAAACTGATGAAGCAATTTCAAAATAACAAAAATCCCAATGCACCGTTGGAAAAAAGGTCTCTCGGATGCCGGATTGCCAATGAATTGTATGGCTTTCGGAATTTCGAGGTAGGCTGGTCATGGCACAATAATTTCATCAAGGCAATGAACATGGCTATTTGAAATGCTCTGGGTTAATTTATGAAAATTTACAGACAAGAGGAGAACACTCTGAGTGGGTCTCACTCCTTGCTAGTTGGTTAATTCACCACGTGTTTAACACAACACAACTGGTGACGAAAAACCGTGTCATGACCGATAAGATCACAGCACAGACCGAGATTCCTGTAAATTCGCATTCAATTTAATTAACATAACCTTGCGTTCAAGGTTGAATCAGGAGCAAGAGGATTCCGTGCGCAATCTGAAGGTTTCTTGTTCCAAGCGGAGGGATTAATGGGTGCCAATCAGGATGAAACAGATTTCGGTTGACCGCGCCACACAAACATTTTGTCACGAATAGAACATTGGCCCTTGCACCTCGCCAAATGCTCCCGTACGACCAGGTGTCACAAGTGGCCTCTGATGAGGAAGCCCTTCTCACTGACTTCTCGTGGCAGTGTTTTCCGACCAAGGTGAGAGGATGGAAAGTCAAAAACCGGGGCTATAACCGCGTTGGTGGACCACTGATAGTCTACCTAGTTGGCCAAAACTTGGATTCCAAACCAACCATGAGGAGATGTACAAACCACACACACACCTTTCCGGTTGTGGCACTGGTCACCGGCTCCTAATAGATTGCGGTTTTCACACCGCCCCGCTGCCTTGCGGGTCAGGCTTTGCCTAACCGAAGGCTACGGTTATGGATTCCTCAAGAAAATTCACCTGCCTTGGTCTGAACAACCTGACAGTATTCAGCCCATGTGCAACTCATGGAACGTTCTATTTTTTCATAAAGATTATTGTATCATGATTTGTTTGGCCCACAGTGTGGCGTCAGATGCGATATATATATATATACTTAAAGCGACCATTGGATGAGATAGAATGATGCGTTCGATTAAAACAAACAAATAATGACCAGTTGTCCTTGGTGACGAAACATAGAAACATGAATGGCGCATGCTGGTTGGTGGTGGTGAACAAAACAGTAACCGAGCGACGATGGTCTTCACAACATGAATAATTCATTACAAAAGAAGATAGAAATCGGGAGTGTGAAGCTGAAAGTTTTCGGCAACAATGTTACTATGGTTGCGTGAAGTAACTAATGCACGTTGTTCGTCTTCCTGAAAGCCCCTCCCTCCAATCCCTTACAAACACACTTTAGCATCCACATCCGCTTTGCTCATATTTGAACAGCATTTTTTAATTATCAGTAGCTCCCTCTATTCCACCCGCCTCCTCGCCTCCTTTAATCACACTCGGCTCCTTTCTACGGTTTCAGTATTAATCAAACCAGAGGGCATATTGCATTTCATTCTGAACATGAGCCTATGTCACGCGCTAATCTCCACTGGCAAACAGAACAATACGTGATACGATATACCGAAAAAAATTCATTGTTACAGCTTTGCTAACCACAAACAGAAACATTTAATGTGGTAAAGAGTAAATGAAGCGTGAACTGAAACGCTAGGAAGTACACATTATTGTACAACTATTTCGATTTGGTTGAGCCTCTTCAGCAGTGGGGATGGAAGGCGGGAGCTCAAGGGATAGAACGTAAGCATCTTATCCACTTGACTGATAAGCAGCTGCGCAGGCAGGTTTTCTCTTTGTTTATACACAATATAACACAAGCCACCATTGCAAGCTTAGTTGCTCTGCACACGAGAAAATTCACCAAAAAAATTAAATCAAATCTTCCCCTATTCTTATGTAACAAACAATTTGATTGAGTAAAATGGAACTGAAGAAGAATGGGATCATTTCATTGGGATACCAGCCCCCCCCCCCACAAGCCGCATTCAGGAATAGGGTGGGATCGAAGACTGATGTGAACTGGAATACAAGCAGTGAAATATCAATCCCCCTTTCAAAAACTGATGTGTTGCCTTCGCCGTAAAACAGATGTTCAAAAGGGATCCATTCCTTTGCTATCTCATCTGTGTGAATTATAGACAAGACGCGACCGTATGTAGACTGCTAGGCTGCTTTCATACGGTAGTTTGGAGCTCAAATCCTGCACGAAGAAAAATCAGAACGGTTTCTCGGATGATTTTCCGCCTCAATTAGTGAACTATCGAATCAGAAACTATTTCATCGGTCAAGACACACGGGAACCAAACGGGAGTATTAATTGACGACGTAGTTAAGCACTCCCCGTCCACTCACTCACTATACGGTCCGTGTGTGTGTGTGTAGTGCCCACAAACTATCCGTCAACCAACGAGGGTCCTCACACGATTCACGTGAATATTCAAAATGAATGAGCGGGAACTGCATTTTTCCGACTTGCGACCAACACATCATGGCACAAGAATCCTTATCACCAGGAAATCAATTCATAATTTGCATTTGATTCACAGTTCCTTGTCAGTAGTTTTGTGGGGTAACTGATTGATTGAAACTGACCATCCTTCAAACTTCACCGTCTCGCACAATCCTCAGTTGTTCTAGTCAGTCGTATACTCGGAAGCACCAGAATAGAGTTTCGTTCTCATTAAAACTCATCAAAAGTGCATACCCACCGTCCCGTCTGAGATTTGATCTCCGAACCTACAGCATGAAAGGCACGTGGATATGCACTACTGATGAGCTTAAATAAGTGCGAAACTGGAGTCTTTGGTGCTTCCGAGTGTATGGTTGACTGGAAAAACTGTGGACTGTGCGAGACGGTGAATTCTGAAGGATGATCAGTACTAATCAATCAATTCACAATATGTTCGCAAGGCAATTAAGTCCGGACTGTTCGCTTTAGACACACGCGTATGCCGAAATGGTACCCTCGTTACCTTGATTAGACTGGCTGGTAAATCTTTCGTTTCCAGTCAAACCGCTCATCTCTTCCCCGGATCAGCTGCGAATTCGAATAGTTGAGAATGATTGAACTAGTGAAGAGAAGAGCAAACGTCGAAATAAACAGGTGTACTGAAACTCAGCAGGGAGTGAAGATATCTTTTCATTTTTATTTTTTTATTTTATTTACTTTTTTTATTTTATTTTTTTTTAATTTTTTTTATGATCCAAGATTGGATGATTTCAGCCCTCCAACGCGATTGACAATTTGAGAAAAGTGCACGAAATTAACGGTGAAGCTGGTTGGGCAATAGAGACCGGTTTCAACGGAATCGGTAGGACAAAGACGACAGAACCCGGACAACAGTTAGCGTCACATGGTACTCGCGTGGGTGTGCCTGACCAGTGAACCAGTCGAGGTGAGGATCAGTCCGTATTCGGCAGAGAAACGCACAGAACAGACAGACGGGTGTGTGTGTGCGACAGAAATGAGGCTGAGTGTGAGACAAACACGGACTACCACTGGCTTATTGCACACTGGAGCGAATTATATTTGTACGAGTGGGTAGTGCAATAAGCCGAGAAAAAAGGAAATGTCTGTCTACCCTGTGCGGTTGACTGTTACTTAAAATAGACCCAGATGAGAATGAGACGATAGAGAACAGGACCCAAAATCCATTCCAAGTGGCAGTTAACGAACTGATTTGAACAGCTAGGCCAAATAAAATGAAGAAAAAAAGAAGCAAACTTGAGTGATAAAATTCAACTAGTTGACCTGACGACCACATTCGAAAGGAACTGAAATCAGGTTGTTTTTCAGTTTAGAAACTAAATTGAAATAGTTTGCTAGAGCGAAACCTAATCCGAAACAAATTGGTCCAGCCAATCAATAGTCAGCATCGATCAACACATCCATCACCCCTCATTACGCATGCTTTTCAGAGCGATTCCTGTTATCGTCGGAATTGGAAAATAAACAATCAATTATAAACATCGAGCATGGAGCTGTTTTTTTCGAAAAATCAACCAAGATAGTGAGTGACACTTAATCATTGGATTGTGGATCGATGCACACACACACACACACACAGCGAAAGAGAGATGCGGGCCAAAAAACGAGACGAGAACCAACCACTTTGTAGTGCGACTTGAGCACCACGAAAGATTCAACGAAATCCGGGTGAGTTGAATAGCACCCGTTCCCCCGGCGGACATTGGCCAGTTGTGGCGATTGAGTACAGGACAACCAAACTAAGAATGATTGGAAAGGGAGGAACACAGATGATGAAATCATCCAAATTGTGTAAGTGTGGTCAATGAGCGGTTCCGTTCAGTTTTTACAACCATCACTCATGCATTTTCATGCGCCAGTTTTGGTTGCTGTCTTTTGGCTGCCCAGAGCAGAACGAAGATTGAAATTTTGAAAGAGCAGAGTCAAAGAGAAGAAAGACTGCAGTTGCATGAGTAGATGCACGAGCGCCAATGTTTGCAACATCCAGCCATATCACTCAGATTATTTTAACCGAGCGCCTCTAGATCGGGATATGTTGACCATACAGCATC